TCCTGCCCCTCCCCGCCCCGAGTCCAATCCCTGTGGCCGGCACCTCCCTCAGCCGCTAGATCTCTATGAGCCCGGAGGCTGTAGTCTCAGAGGAGAGAGTTCTGCACCTCCGGTGAGCTGAGCGGTGAGCGGGCCGAGCGGACCGGATTGGGGGGTGGGGGGGTGGAGGCCCTGCAGGGTGGGCAGGGACAGCCTGGCCTGGGAAAGCTAAGGTGAAGGTCACCAGTCCTTGGAGGGACCCTGGGTGTGAGCCAGCTGGGTGAGTCTGGGTGGCAGTCCTGTGGGTGCACAACTCAGTTTTGTTGGTTGTGCCCCCCCGGGAGGCCCCTGGGGCTGGCTCTGGCTCCTGAGCCCTGCCCCTAGCGAGAGGGGCCCCTTCTGTCCCCGTTGCCAAGTGGATGTGGGGACTAACCATCCGGAGCCTCAGGAGGTCAGCAGTCCACCTCCCAGCTGCCCCTCCCCTTTGCCCCACACACTCCTGAAGCTTCCAGAGGTCCTGGCCGGTGGCTTCTTGTGTGTGTCTGCCTGGGACTGAAGTTCCGGCGAGGGGGGGAGAGGAGGTGGGGGCAGGGCCGAGTGTGGGTGAGAGTCGTGCTTCTGGGGGAAGGGATGTCTGGGGTTCCCTTGTGTAGGAGCCTGTGAGGAGACTCCAGCCTCTTTCTCTGCTCAAGGGTGGGGGGCCGGGTAGCCGCAGCCCAGTCCTGGGTTGAGGTGACTGACCCAGCTGGCTAACTGTCCCCTTCCTTCCAGCCTCTGCTGCTGCCTGCCTCCCCCCTCCCCACCCCGGCGCCTGGCCCTTTAAAGACGGCACTCTGTGTGCACGTGAGCGTGAGCGTGAGCGTGAGCGAGGAGGTGCTGGGAGGACACCGCTGGGGGGGCCTGGAGGGGAATCTGCTGCCCGGCACCTCCCGCAGCCCTGTGCCCCCAGGACACGTTGATGTCCCAGCCTGGGTGGTGGGGAGGTGCTTGGTGCCCCTCATGAGACGTGGGGGGGCTCGGGGGAGCTTTTCCTCTGCGGTGACTGAGTGGTCTGTCCCCCCCTGCTGATTCCAGCACCCTCTTCCTTCTAGGACAGAAGGTGGTTTTTAAGTTCCCAGCAAGCGGCGGCCCACCCTGCGCACTCTTCCTACCCACCCTCCTCCGCATCACCTCCCCCGGCTGGTCTTCACCTCTCCTCCTCCCTGGGTGCCCTCCAGTTAAATGGCCGATAAGCAGATCAGGTCCGAATGCCACCTGCCTTCCTCTTGGCCCCACCCTACCCTTGCCCCCTGCCCTGTGGCCAAGGAGGCCGATAGGTCCTGACACTCCCTCTGCCCGCACAGCCTGCCAGCCAAGCTCATCAATGGCGGCATCGCCGGGCTGATTGGGGTCACCTGTGTGTTCCCCATCGACCTGGCCAAGACGAGGCTGCAGAACCAGCAGAATGGCCAGCGCATGTACACCAGCATGTGAGTGTACCCTGTGGGCACCGGGCCTGGAGCCATGTGTGTGGGGGCAGGGTGAGGCTCCGGCTCCTGAGCTCTGCTCTCGTGGCCCCCCCACCCTGTTTAACAAAAAGGGGGAACTGCAGGGAGGACAGGCCTGGGGGAGCTTCTACCTGGGGCAGGGCTGGAGCCATTGCCGGGCCCCAGGCCCTCCCCCAGCTCATCCCGTCCCTTGGCTGCAGGTCTGACTGCCTCATCAAGACCATCCGCTCGGAGGGCTACTTCGGCATGTACCGTGGTGAGGCTCTGGACAGGGCAGGCCTGGCAGGGGGGAAGGTGGGGCTGGGCAGCAGGCCTGGCTTGGTGTGGAAGTGTGGACACGTCCTGTGGGGGGCTGGCTGTACCTGCACTGGGGGCCATCAGCCGGGCCCTGGGTGCTGGAGTTGGGAGAGTTGAATGACGGGTGGGATCTCTGGACAGTGGCAGTTCTCGGCACCCCACCCTTCCTGGGTATCCCCCCATCCCCCACTTACTGTCATTGGGGGGGGCACTGTGTCTCTACCACAGTGGCTGCAGCCTCCTGAGACAGGCAGGACCCTGTCTGAGCTGGGAAACTGGGAGGGGGGTAGAGCAGTCCTGCAAAGCAGCTTAGGTAATCCCCAAGCCTGGGTTTCCCCAGATGCTGGGCAGCCCTGAGCCCTGACCGCCAGGAGGGGCTTGCCGTTGCCCAGCAGACTAGACACAGCCATGTGCACCTGTGCCCGCTCACCCAGGGCCCCCGCCATCGTGAGCACCTTCTGTCTGCTAGGGGACGTGTTCCTTGGGGAGGCCCACTTGGCTGGAATAGGGGGGTCGTTTGGGGGAGAGTGAGCAGAGGGCCTGGAGTAGGAGGCACTGCCCCTATCCCTGCCCGGTCCCTGTCCCGCCTGGCACCAATGTGGGTGAGAGGGCAGGAGGAGGAGGCCAAGGATTGACTGGGGCAGGGCTCTGCCAGCTGGGAAGCAAGTGCTGGCTGAGAGCCTCCCCAACGCTGCGTGTCCCACAGGAGCCGCCGTGAACTTGACCCTTGTCACCCCCGAGAAGGCCATTAAGCTGGCAGCCAACGACTTCTTCCGATATCAGTTCTCCAAGGACGGGTGAGGGGGAGGGGTCTGTGCCTCCAGACGAAGGACAAGGGCTTGCCCTCCTACTGCCCCTTACCTTGACCGTGCAGGGTCTCTCTTTCCTGCTGCTGCTCCTCTGCTGTCCTGTCCTCTGCCCTCTGTCCTCTCGGCCCCCCTCCCCGCCCCTGCACTGGGAGGAGTGAAGCAGACGCTGAGCCTGGCGCTCCAGCCACCAGGGTTCCTTGGCCCTGGGCCACGGCCTGCCAACCCTTGTAGGCTGGGATTTGGGGGCACTGACCAGCTTTCCTCTGTCCCCAGAGGTAACCCCTTGAGGCCCTTGAGACCCCCAGCTTCTCCATTTGTCTTTGCTTGAGAATGGCCCTGCTACCCTTTCCAGTTCCTGCTGTGGGGCCATCTGTTTGTCAGACTCCATGCCCTTGCTGGAGGGTCTGGAGGGGTGTCTGAGGCGGGGGGGTGCTGTACCCCCTCAGGGCGGCATCTGCCTCCACTGCTCTCATCTGCCTTCACACCCAGGCGCAGTGGGCAGTTGCCTGGGCGGCAGGGGCCTCTGACTCTACCCTGCCCTTATTTCCTTCACTACAGGCAGAAGTTGACCTTGTTTAAGGAGATGCTGGCAGGTTGTGGGGCTGGCACCTGCCAAGTCATCGTGACCACCCCCATGGAGATGCTGAAGATCCAGCTTCAGGACGCAGGACGCATTGGTGAGGGTGTGGGGGAGGGATGGAGAACTAGGGTGGGGGCAAGAGCCTGACTCCAGTCCCCTGCCCTCACCTGGCACTTGGAGGGAGAGCCAGCCCCCCCGTCCTCTCTCTCCCCAGCTGCCCAGAAAAAGATACTGGCTGCCCAGGCCCAGCTCTCAACACAGGGGGGTGCCCAGCCCTCAGTGGAGGCTCCGGCCGTCCCCCGGCCCACAGCCACCCAGCTTACCCGTGACCTGCTCCGGAGCCATGGCATTGCCGGCCTCTACAAGGGCCTAGGGGCCACACTGCTCAGGTGGGAGGGTCTGTGAGAGCAGGAGAAGGGAGGAGGGAGGAGGAAGGAGGGAGGCGGGAGGCGGGAGGCCTGCCCACCCCACACCTCGCAGTCACCACCACTCCCCTGCAGGGACGTCCCATTCTCCATCGTCTACTTTCCCCTCTTTGCCAACCTGAACCAACTGGGCCAGTCCGCATCCGGGGAGAAATCTCCCTTCTACGTGTCCTTCCTGGCTGGCTGTGTGGCTGGGAGTACGGCCGCTGTGGCTGTCAACCCCTGTGATGGTCAGTATGAGGGCCTGGGCCTCAGGCTGGGGGTTGGGGGCTAAGGGGGTGGAGATGGAGGTGAGCAGACCTCCCTGACGTGCACGCCTCCCTGCAGTGGTGAAGACCCGGCTCCAGTCACTCCAGCGCGGGGTCAATGAAGACACCTATTCAGGGTTTCTGGACTGCGCCAGGTGGGTGAGGCCCCTTAGGAGGTGGGGTGCGTGGGAGGCCAGCACCAGCTCTGACAGCCCCCCTCTCTCCACAGGAAGATCTTGCAGAACGAGGGTCCCTCAGCCTTCCTGAAGGGTGCTTACTGCCGCGCCCTGGTCATTGCCCCGCTGTTTGGCATCGCTCAGGTGGTCTACTTCCTGGGCATCGCGGAGACCCTGCTGGGGCTGCTGCAGCAACCCCAGCCCTGAGCCTGGGACCCCCCCACGCCCACACCAAACAGGACTAGAGTGGGACTGGGGCTGGGCGGCCTGCCCAGGACCGAGCAAGGGAAAGTCTCCTCCTCCCCATGTGGATGGGGGAGGCAGAGGAAGGGGGTGCAGGGTCCACACACATGGGCCCTAAGGGGTCCTGCCTGCACAACCACTGGGATCAATGCGTTATTTACGTAGAAATCACAGAAATATTTACATTCCTGGAGCCAGCCCTGCCCCAGCTCCAACCTGGCCTAAACACCCCCAGGGACAGAGCTGGTCTCTCAGCTGGGGGCTCCCAGGTGTGTGCTGGGCAAGATGGGCCCTACTCTCCAGGCTACCAGCCTGTCCCTGAGGCATAGCCCCTAGCCCACAAAGGGGACCCTGCACAAACCTATTTATTAACTAGCTGAGCACAAGTGGCTCTGTCCAGCCCTCCGTCCATCCGTCCAGCCTCCCAGCTGCTGCTCCTCTCACCTCGGCCAGCCTTGCAGGAGAATCAGGGTCTCCTGCCCCCCCACATTGAGCCAGGAATCCCAGGCGGGGGGGTCACACCGAGTTCTGACTCCCAGGGAACACCCCCCAAATGTGGGACCCAGCAATCCTCCTGTGCTCCTCTGTCCCACCCCAGGCTAGGAGCCCAGAGCAAGTAAGGTCTGTGTGCACATGGGGATGCTGTGAGGAACTGGTTGTGCCCTCAGCTGGCCTGGCCCCTTGGGGGGGGGGGCGCTGCCCTTCATACATGGCCAGGCAGAGTGTGTGTGTGTGTGTGTGTGTGTGTGTGTGTGTGTTCGCGCCCGCGCCATACTGTGTACACCCTACGCCCCCACTGACCCTGTCCAGAAATTGTTTCTCTAGTTTGGCCTCTCTTGCTGCACCTGCAGCTGACCCCTCTTCTGTGACCTGCACCCAGGTCTGACTTTGGCCAGTAGGAAGGGCAAGCATGACCAGTATGGAGCCTGGGGGCACCTGCTCTGCTTGCAGGGGTCAGGGCCAGGAGCTGCCCCTTCAGGGCCCACCCTGCTCTCTAGGCCTCTGCATAAAGCCCCTGACCACCCTCTACTGCTCTGCCCTCCTGATGTCCAGACCCGTCCATCCAGACCCGTCCACCTTGTGAATTGAGGCAGGCTCCTGCTATCCCCCCCTGCCACGTGATCGTGTTGGTGATTGGTCCTGATGTGCTGGTGCTGTGTCCCCTACAACCCAGGCCCCCTCTGAGGAGGCCCCTTCCCAGCGACACTACCTGGGGCTGAGGCCTGGCCCCCAGTTCACGGTTGTACCCATCACATCTGTACCTTGGAAGCTGCTGCTGCTGCTTACAGATTTATATTTTTTTCTTTTGAGGAGTTTTAAGAAGTGACATTTTGTGTCTTGTCATGTGAGAAGATAAATAAATATTCTAAGTAGATGCCTCTCTGAGACTGTTTGGGGATGCGGTGGTCGGCCCCTCTTCTCATATTTGGCTCTCCCTGCAGACCCGGGTCCCCGTGCCCACCCACTGATGGGCACATTGGCCTGGAGGGGTCCTGTGGGCAACCGCCTCCTGACTCCCACGCTGTCTGGGTTCGGGGTGCGGAAGGGCAGCCTGAGTCCCTCGCTGCCCGACCCTAAACCGCCCTTGGGATTAAAAGCAGAGCCGGGTTCGGGTCCCAGGGTGCCCTGCGGCCCCTGGCGCCGCGGGCCGCAGGGGAGGCGGGGCCTGTGCTGGTGCGCCCCGCCCTCACTTCCTGCGCCGGAGCACTGCATTGTGGGAAACTCCCGGTCCTCGCATCCGCAGCTGCCGCCC